GAGAGAGAGAGAGAGAGAGAGAGAGAGAGAGAGAGTCACGACTAAATAAAGTCATGAACCTCAAGGCGACATGACGTCAGATACACAACACCTTTTTCAGGAGAGAAGCCGGGATTATTGGAAACACCAACAACAGATCCTCACTACCATGAAGAGGAAGCAAACAGGGCCACCCACGAATAACCACAATATTGCTGTGCCTCAATATGATAGTGGATGATGGCGCGAGTCGGACGAAGCGATGTTGAACAAGGACGTGTGCATGAAACCGTCGGAGAACGGTCCCAAGAAGAACCGACCCTTCCGATTTGAGAGCACTTCTACGTGTATTTCTGGGGGGCCTACAATACACCTACAGTAGTACGCCACTTTGGGCCTCGATATACTATGGTAGATGCAAATTGAAGAACTTCCTCGAATGTCACAGAAACGTCAACAAGACATCAACGACAACAACGGCAACAAGGCGCACCTGCTCCTGGTAGCGGCCGATGAACTTGATGGCATCGTCACGGGAGAACCCCCACACGCTCTGGGTCAAGTCCTGCGGTAGAAACGTAGTAAGTTCGGGGTAGGGATCGTGAAAAAAGTCAACATGAGGTGCATCGAGCTCTTCGCTGTGTGTGCTACTTGTAGAGAGAAGGGGGTCGGCAGCATCGAACAACGGAATACCATCATTGTTGTTCCGCTCTCTTGTTGGCCCTCGCTGTCGGCCGGTGTTGGGCGGGGGGGACCGGGGAGTAAGCAAGCGATGTTTTGGCAGGATACGTGCATCGCTAGTCTGATGGTCGCGACCGCTCGGCGACGCAATCGCTTCCTACCCAGCTAGTGCTGCCTGAACCACTCGACAACCGGGGAGCCGTTTGTCAAGATCGCGCCGCGTTGTTCACCACGGTCATAACCTGGCCAATAGGCGTCGCTGGTGCGCCAACACGTACGTGAGGATACCGCTATGCTGGCCAGAGCACTGTGCGGCACAAACCCTCTTGGGCATCTCGGTGAGCGGCCTCTTTCATCTCTCGATTGCGACATCTCTTAGTCAGAAAAAATGTTTTTCGTTGAACTGGAGCTGCACAACCCTTGACCAGCGGACACCGCGGTCTAGGGAAGCAAGCCACTCTCTCCGCGGTAACGGCGCTCGTCGAGACACGGGTGCCGAGGTACGCGCCGTCCATGTCGCCAGCATGAACCGCAAGCAACGCAGGAAGCGTCGCAGGCATGACTCTCAACAAATGTACTTGTCTTGCGACAAGCCCGCCGTTGCCGTCGCTGTCACCACGGATTGGCAGTGCCACCTTGTCGGAAGCCGGAGCAGTTCTTCCAACTTCCTCTGAAGTCGCGCAACAACTGTGTGTTTTCGAACTACAAAACAACGCGGCGCGATCTTGGCCTACGCCTACAAAAACAAGAACAAAAACAACAACAACGACTACGACGACGACCCCCGTACGAAAAAAACAACCCTAACTCACGTTCGTGCCAAAGCTCATGAACTCCACGCCCTCCGTGCCCACTATCTCGTCCGCGGTCACGCACGCTCGAGGGAGTTCCATCATCGTGCCAATGGGGATGTCCAGCTGTGGTCAAACGGAAATGAAGGTCCGCGAGAGGAGAGGAGGAATGGGGAAGGTTTGACGGTCTTGGGCCTGACATGTGTCGGGCGGAGTTGATGATGGTCTGGTCACCAGAGCCCACTTCATCATCAAGAGGGAACGCTCCAGCAGTGGTCAATGCTATAGGTCGAGCACCATATTCGTATCGTCACTGTCATCAGTACCATACTCACGTTAGACCACCCTTTGTTTCGTCTCCTTTTGACCTATTCGACACAACCATCATCATCGTATATTGGAGCCAGTCGCATTGTATGCCTGTTTAATGAGAAGCTAAGGCTGCTTTTCCTCTAGCGTGAGAACTTTGCTTGTGGAGAAGTGTGCAAACCAGTCGTCTGCTCCCGGACGGACCAGTGCATGAAGGAGACGGGCTTGGATATACCAGGGATGACACGAGACGAGACGACGACAAGGCCACCGCCATCAGCAACAACAACACCATCAACAACAACAACAACAACCGCCGCACCTTGCAGGGAGGAGCAGGCGCACTCACCAAGGACTTGTGCGTATCAATAGTTTGTAGGAAAAAACCCTCGCAAACCACGGGCAAAACGCTCGGAGACATCGTCCAATCGCAAACTAGACGCAGCTAGTTAATGACGGCGGCCTTGAAACCCTAAAAAAAGCACCGTGCATCCAACCCGAAAACAACCTAAGGGTACACGCGAATTCTCGAACAACAGTGAACCCTTAAAACTTGGCCCACCTCTTCGTTGGCCTTCCTGAGCTCGTCTGAGACGGCAGCCTCGATCCGCGGCACGATTAACCTCAGCTCCTTCGCGGTTGAGACCACCGGCACCATGATTTCCGGCTTGGGGTCTAGCCCAGCCTGGCCAAGGTGAACCCAAAAGAGCAGAAAGATGCGCGGATGTTGTATTGGGCTCATTGTTTGCCGAGGAATCAACGAACGAAAACGACTCACGAATGATCAAGATGCCGAGACCGAAGGCTATGCACAGGGGTTGAACGAGAGACAACAGTCATGGAATCACGGCCAAAGACCACTCAGTCAAGGGGGGAAGCATGTCACGGCCTCGGGTACCCGCTCCCCTTCCGCCTCTGCCACCACTCATGAGTCAGTGCGTGCAGCGATGAACGCTGGCGCGATGGCGCGACGAACGCCAATCGGGGTTCCCGCCCAGACCCTAATCGTTGTGCGAAGCACTGGAGTCTCGATCAATCAGAGCTTCTAGCGGCTACGTATGAAACAGAGCACCCAGGGAAATTGCAAAACACGTAGTCGCCCGTTGTTCTCATCTTGTGTTATGTACTTAGTTGCTTGCATTCTCCCTGACATTGGCCGTTTGCCTTGGTCGCGCCTTGAACCGTCGCTTTACAACACGTGTGGGAACGACGTTGTGACGATGACACCAACAGCAGGCGTCACGGTGCTTGTGGCGACCGTCCTCTCCTACACCCCGACAACATCCTTCTTCCACAAAGCAGAAACATGTACAAAAAAAAAAAACGACCCTCGGTATCCACCACGACAAAAAGTCAGGCCTGTAGACCGCTCGCAGCTCGGTACCTTCTTGTTGGCGGCGGCAGCGGAGGCGATCGCCCGGGCCTGCATCTCCGTGATCTCCGGGTACACCACGGACAGCCGGCAGCCTCGGAACCCGAGCATGGGGTTCACCTCCTGCAGCTGGGCCACGCGGTCCTTGACCACCGACAGCGGCTTGCCGACCGTGTCCGCGAGGGACTGCCGAGGGGTTCCGATGACGATGGAGTCCACACAGGACGGAGGTGAAGATAGAATGGTGGGGGGTAGAGGGACACTTTCACATGGTGATGTACTAACTGTAGTATGTGAAAATAGGACAAAAAACGCAATTGAATGATTGCCTGAATCCGAAATCCCGCTGGCGGTGTTGTTGTACGGAAGATACCACCCCCTGTTAAAGTGACGGTGGTCGTTCGCAAAACGGCGACTACGGTAGGATTGACTTCCAAAAAGCCTTCGATTCAGACCCACGGCCGTGTGAAAAAAAATAACGACCGGGGATATAGGCAGGAACCCACAGGTGCTGATGGCAGGAGAGTCCCCCACGAGTGCATCCCACCATCGTCTACGTGCGCATGCACATTTTGACCCGCTGAAAATGACGTTTTCGCTTTTGTCAAGCCAGCTGGCGCGGTCGACGCTAATCAACAGCTGACACACGCAAGCACGAAGCAGCAGCAGCAGCTAGGCCAGCAAATGGAAGCCAAAATTCCGCGAAAGCCAAGGCGAAACCGCTGGCGCACACGTCCTTCGTACCTGCATTTCTTCGTGAGAGTGGGGAAGGAACTCGTGAAGTGGAGGGTCGAGAAGGCGCATGGTCACCGGCAAGCCGTCCATTTCCCTGGAAAACCCAAAAAAACGGGAGGGGGGTGCGTTCATGGGAAAGGTCCATCCAGATTAAGCTCTTTCGCTCAACGGTTCACATGTGTTTCACTGCCGAGGAACATCGGATACCAGACACGGGGTACCTCGCCAACCAAAAAAAAAAGACCTTTCCGTGACGGTCATCTCTGAGAGGTTGGTAGCGAGGAACGCCTCGAAGAAAACACGCACACACACACGACCACCCCCACGAAAATAAGCAACCGCCCCCTCCGTGCAACAAAACTCACTTGAGAATCGACGAGATGTCCTCGCTCTGGAATGCGGCCATGGTCTCCAGGTGCTCGAGGCGCTCCTTCTTCCTCTCCGACACGATCATGGCGCGCATCGCCGAGATCCGCTCCGGCGCGAAGAACATGTGCTCCGAGCGGCACAGGCCGATCCCCTGCGCGCCGAGGCCGCGGGCGGTGGCGGCCTGCTCGGGCGTGTCCGCGTTGGTCAGGATCTGGAGCGACGGTGGCAGTTATGGCGGCGGCGGCGGCGGCGGCGGTGGCGGCGGCAGCGGAGGAGGAGGAGGAGGAGGAAGAGGGAGTGCGGCAAGGTGTGGGTTTCAAAGTGTGCGCAAGGGGTGTTTGGTCGAGGGCATGGGCGCCAAAGTCCTCGCAACGACAGTCCAGAACAACAACAACGTAGGTCCGACGCAATGACGAGGAAAAGCACGCGTTCTGCGCGTGTCAAGCACGCTACCAACAAGTTTTCTCCGGAACCGCAATCCAGCGACGTTCTCAACCTTTCCATCGCACCTTGAGCTCGCGAATGTCGTCTGCCCACTTGAGGACGGCCTGGAAGTCCTCGTCCTCTGCGGCGGAACGTCTGTCCACCGTGCCGAGGTACACCTCTCCGGTGCTGCCGTCGATCGTGACAACGTCGTGCTCCTTGAGCTTGTTCTCGCCAAGCTGTAACGGGGCAAGAGGCAAGGGGTGTCGGCGAGGCGACTTGGCTCAGCGTGCGATAGCTTCGCACAACACAGGCAAACTGCACGAAGTTGGGTTCGGACGACCGGTCGGGATGGGCGCCGGATAAAATATCGTGGGGTCCGGCATAGTTTCCGCGAGCGACTCCTACGGTGAAGAGTTGAGGCCATCCTAAGGTGAGGAGTTTTAGCAGGAAAGACTTCAACAGCGACAACAACTTCAGCACGAACATAAAAACAACATCTTCATTCACAACAACACCCGAAAAAGGACGTCGACGACACACATAGCAGCAGCCCACCGTGAGGGTCTTGGTCTTCACGTCCACCTCCGCCGCCGTGCACCCGCTCACGCAGCACTTGCCCATGCCGCGCGCCACCACCGCGGCGTGCGAGGTCATGCCGCCGAGCGCCGTCAGGACGCCCTGGGCAGACTTCATCCCGTGGATGTCCTCCGGCGTGGTCTCCTTCCTGACCAGAATCACGTCCTGCCCGAGGTTGGCCATGGCCTCGGCATCGTCCGGCGTGAAGACGATCTTGCCCGTGGCGGCTCCCGGGGACGCCGGTAGCCCTTCCCCGATCAGCGTCTGACGGCGGGGTTTCCGCGTGGGACGGGTTTTGTTGGAAGAAAAAACAAATGGAGGGTCAAAGTGGGATACACTGTTCTAGGGGGAAGACGCCATTGCCCGTGGGTGGGCAATTGAACGGAACCGGCTTGGGATTGCTCCCCGGAGTATGTGTACCGCGTCGAGAACGAGGAAAAGCACCGCGATGATAAAGGAAAAGGATAGACGAACGAAACGCGCTGTCGCCCTGCGGGTAGAGAGGCGGCAAACACCCACGTTCACTTCATGTAACAGCGACACCAACACCCAAACAAAGACTCCGGCACGAACGACTGCAACACCACACCATCACCACCGCCATCACTCGTAGCAAGAAAAGAGACCAAGACCAAACACACCGACGACAACCGTGAGTGTACCTTCTTGGCCTTCGGGTCGAGTGTCGGGTGCAGAAAGAAGTCCAACAGAGACCAAGACCAAACACACCGACAACAACCGTGGGCGTACCTTCTTGGCCTTCGGGTCGAGTGTCGGGTGCAGAAAGAAGTCCATCTGGTTCGCCGGAATGCGGAGGAGGGCCTCCTGCGCCGACAGCGTCCCCTCCTTCACCATGTCCACGGCGATCTTCACCGAGGCCTTCGCCGTGCGCTTCCCGTTGCGGCACTGGAGCATGTACAGCCGCCCGTTCTCGACAGTGAACTCAATGTCCTGGAAGGTAGTAAACCGGGGGGATCACGTTCCGGGTTGGTCAGAGAGAGACTGTTTGCATGGTGCTGAACATCAGCAGCAGCAGTGGTTGTTGGGTGCTAAGTGACGAGTAAGTAGGAGTCCAAGATGCCGCTGGTATCACTGGTATGCATGGTGGTGCCCGAATCACTGAACAGCAGCGAGGCTTGTCAGCGGTGAAACCACAGGCAGCGAGACCCAAACGCCAACGAGCAAAACCGAAACAAGCACACAATCAACAACATCAAGACCTGCATGTCGCCGTAGTACTTCTCGAGCTGCTCCTGGTACTTGAAGAGCTCGGCGTACACCTCGGGCCACTTCTGGGCCATCTCCTCCAAGGGCTGCGGGGTGCGGATGCCGGCAACGACATCCTCTCCGGCTGCGTTAGCCAGGAACTCTTACAAACGCCGTGAGAAATCATCGTTGAATATGATGTCAGGACGGGTTTAGTGGAACAAGGCCGCATCAACACGCCATGTTTTTCATCCGAATGGCAAGGTAGGTGTGCGGAGACTACCAACGGAGACCACCAACATCGGGGGAGCGGAACGGGTGGTGATAAGATAGGAATATTTTCGGCAAGTCTCCTTTCATGGCACCTCTCTCTCCCTCTCTCTCTCTCTCTCTCTCTCTCCCTCTCTCATCCCTCTCTCTCCCTCTCTCTCCCTCTCTCTCTTTCTCTCTCTCTCCCCTCTCTTATTATCTCTTTCTCGCTCTCTATCTCCATCCCTCCCTTTCTGGGTCTCTCCCCCTCTACCGCCTCTCCTGCACACAAGGATTCTTTTCGGGTTTTGGATACTCTCTTGGAGTTTCCTTTAGAGCGAAAATACTTCTGTAATACCCCACAATAAATTTACCGGCCGTCGCCTCTACCTGGTTCCGCCAGTACTTCAGAGAAAATTGCCCTATCGCGCAAGCAAGACTTGCATTTGAGGAACACAACCAACAACAACGAGAACGGCAACTTTCTCTCAAACCACAACTTCTCACCGCCGAAGAATTTGTTCTCTCCCGTCGAAGGGTTTCTCGAAAATGCCACACCGGTCCCGCAAGCCTGTCAACACACAGGAGAAAAAAGAGGATTGTAAACACACGGGGGGCGATAGAACAACTCGAAATGATGGACCAATGCAACTGCATCTTTCCATTTCCTGTGTGTATTGTCGCATGGAGATACTCAAAAGCCATCAATAAACGTGAAACGCGAAAGATTTGACACGAAAAACTATCTTTGAGTGAAAATCGGCCGGGTGTCTGGTCCCTGCCTGATGTTGCCGGCGGACGCAGGGAAGAAATGAAAGGCTATAGACAATGCTGTCGTGCGTCAACAAACATAAATCGGAGCCACGCTTCGCTGCTAACGCAAAACATCATGCTGCGACAGAACGTACATGGGAAACAAATGAAAAGCCTTCCGCCAAACCCCGAGAGAAGTAAAATCGCAACAAGTACAGCCAACGGATCAAACCACCGCGGACAAGCTTTCAAGCCGCTCAGCTCTACCGCCGCGCCGCTCACGTCGTTCATGTTGCCGTAGGCCATGGCCTGCACCGACACGGCGGTGCCCCACGCGTCGGGGATGCCGTTGTACGACCGGTAGCGGATAGCGCGGTCATTGTTCCAGGAGCGGAAAACGGCCAGGATTGCGCCGCGAAGCTGCTCCCTCGGGTCCATGGGCACGTTCGGATTGAGATTCTTGAACTCAGCAACTACCTGTTCATTTTTGATCGGCAGTGGTATGTGGAACAGACACCACGGGGCAGGGTCGTGTCGGGTGCAAGAGGCGCGGGGGGGATCCTCAAGCCTTGATGAGAAACAACGATGCGCCGCCTCATGCGTCACGTGACACTAACAGCAAACGTTACTACGTGCCTCTATGGATGGTCGCGCAGGGGCATGACCACCGACGATCAGCTTCAACGCCAGCGACACAATCTTGTGGCGTCATCCGCGCAAAATACGCTTGAAAAATAGCTCGTTGTCTTTCCTCATCCCTGTCGTTTCTGGTAATCGCTGGTCAAGCGTGCCGAAGACCGCCCCCGCGGCCAGAGCTGTTGATGCCCCCCCCCGGAAATCCATTTGCGGCCGACTGCGTGGACTTATATCTATCGACCTAAACCCACACCCACGAATCCAGCCGCCGTCGACCTCACACGCAATGTCGACCTTGATGAGCCTCAAATTCCAGCCCATACACAGTTGGCGGCTGATAAAATTGCCTGATACAAGCCACACACCCTGCGTTCTGCGCTGGGTTGTCCCCAGGCGAATATGACAAAACATCGCCTGCTTCTCTCTATCCTTCAGATACACTGTTAATATCGCCTTCTTTGGCTTTGTATCGCGCCCCACCCATCTCCCGCCGCACACCACACCTGTTTCCAGTCCGAGGCCTCCATCTCCAAGTCGAGCTTGATCCCCTTCTTCTTCTTGATCTTGTCGATCACCTGGCAAAGACAGACGGCGTTGCCATCGACAATCAGAAAATACCATTTGCATGTATAGGCCGATGATTGAATTGGTGTGGACGCACATCATCTCGGGAGCTGCAATTTCTGCGCTGTAGATTCGACGTCCTTCGTCTGGGCGTGGAGTACATACACAGCGGGGTACGAGCGGCTTACCGATGTTCTTGATATTGGTGGAGACGGGTGATATCACGTTGTGAGCCGCTTCAATTCTCTCCGGTATATGCAGCACGCGCCACCACTTAATAAGAACTTAGCAGGTAACAAGTTGATCCTGAACTATCCAAAATCTGAGAACGTGGCCGTAACAAGAGGTGCTCAGCCAAGAAGCCTACACTAAAATCTGTACAGTCGCCGCGGGGTTATCCCATAGACAACATAAGAAACGAGACTCGGCGAAAACAAGAAGTCCCTAAACCGCGGCGCGTTCTGCATACATGCTCGAACATTAGCCTAGCGGACACTCTTTTTGGATACGTTAGTGCTGCCTGGTTCTAAGCTGGAGTAAATCCCGCCGGTAGAAATTAGACCGTCTATATGGATATGACAAGGTTACTCGCTGCATGACCAAGGCATGGTGGCGATCAGAACGTTGGTCAACACGAATGAATGTTGGAAACAAATGAGAGAGTGCCATAACACCAAAAGTAACGGAGCGACCCTCTTGAAACGGCCGGAAATTGTTCGTGACTTCTGCACTTTGCAACAACTCTGCTGTACTCGGAGATGCGAGCGACTTTTCAGGGAATATGAGGCGGTTCACGGGCGAAATAGGGATGCCCCGTCGCAAGGGGTCAATGCTGACGCCGCGTATCGTCGTGTGTACGGCATAAAAGCAATCTCGTCACTATTCCGCGAGGAAGGCGTCCTAGCAGAGGAAAGCCATGGCCTTGAGAGCCTCGTATCCACCATCCCTAGGTAGAGGACTAGGGGTAGCCCTGAGAGGAAGGAATGGAGACAAGAAGGACTGCACAGGAAATGCTTCTCGATACTTCGACAACGCCCACAGAGGCATTTTCTTCTTTTGACACTGAGTGGAGAAAAACTCACAATGGGAATGCGTGAACGGGAGGGGGGAGGGTGTGTGTGGGGGGATACAAGTCATGTCGTACCTCCTCGAAGGGTTCCTTGTCCATCTCCATGACCACGTCGGAGTACATGTTGAGGAAGCGCCTGTAGGTGTCGTACGCGAAGCGCTCGTTTCCCGTGGTATCGATGATGCCCTTTTTCGTTCGAGAAACGAAGAGATTTGCCACGAGAGACGAGCAAGCGCCGCAATAATTGAGAGCGGAGTTACACACGAAGAGAGAACAAGACAGAAAACCGCGTCGATCTTGAGAAAACACCAGCAGGAAGGAGGGAAATAGGCGGCGAAATCAATGGGACCGTAAGATAGGATCGACAACAACCAACAACCACAGTCATTGAACACAAGACGAGCAATACTCCGGCAACGGCAATTAGCATGACAAAAATCTACCCGACGGGCGAGACCACAGTTGGCCCGCGCACTGAGCAACAGTCGCGAACATAAAAGCAGGGTGGTTCTACGTTCATGTTTTAAATCAGTTGGATTGACTCATTCTGGCACTCGAGCGACTTAAAACCAACGCAAGCAGCAGCGGCACGCACAAAGCCCAAAAAATGTAGGACGCGTTCTGTTCGCGGTCAACTGTAGCTCACGCCCCGCGTGCAAAGTCAGACCGCCCCCTTGCCCCTTTAACAGTAAGCAGCGGTATATAGCAAACAAAGAGTTGACGTTGTGAAATGCAAGAAGATATAGCAGCCTGTGCTTCCGCGGCCGCTGTCTCTGCTCTAAAACAATCCCAGAGAGGTTGTAGGTGGGAGAAAACCAACACAACGAGCAATATGTATGCAAAACCACATCACATGGAAAAAAAGTGAAAAATCTTCGCTCACCTGCACGATCTCATCGTTGAGGCCGAGGTTGAGCACGGTGTCCATCATGCCTGAAATTTGCGAAGCGCCCACGTCGTCGTGACCATCGAAACAAGGGTGCGCACAGTGTTGGCCGCGTTATGTTTCCCACGAGGCACACGAACGTGACGACGAAAATCGGTCCAGGCACTACGAGACAGCGCAATGAGGGCCATGCGGTTTCCGCCACGATGCTTTTCGACATTCGATGGAAAAACACTAGCACACTCTCGACAAAACTGTATCAAAACCGCGATTTGAGTACAAATTCAGCTTCATGCTGACAAAACAACTAAACTGTGAGATCAACCCCTTACGCAATCGTGGGAACTCAAGACAGGGTTCCCTACACGACTGGTTTCTAGACGTGAAATACATTCTCGCGCCCCGTCGACCTCTTGTCTTGCCACAAACGCGTCCTCGTCTTCTACAATCGGAACACCGGGCACCACGGATCTACGCAGTACGCAACACGGAACATGCAACACGGAATAAAACACGCATTCCCAGAAATCAGAATTCGGCGCGCACCGGGCATGGAGGCGGGCGCACCCGACCGCACCGATACCAGGAGCGGGGTGGTCGGGTCCCCGAACTTCTTGCCGGTGTCGTCCTCGAGAGCCTTGAGCTGCACCTCGTAGTCGAGGGCCTTGGGGAGGTCGCCCGTGCCCTCCTTGAAGTACTCCAGACAGGTCTCCGTGGTGATGATGAAGGCCGGCGGGACGGGCAGCTCAAGCTTGGCCATCTCGCACAAGTTGGCGCCCTTTCCGCCCAGCAGCATCTTTTTTTTTTTTTTGCGTCGACGGCGTGTGCGTGTGAGTGCGCGTTTCTTTACATATCGTAGCATTGACGGTCCTTCGAACCCGGCTGACTGTGGAATGAATTGACATCTCAGCCTTTTTCGTCTTTCGTAGGGGGGCAATGAACGATGACACAATGTGAGTTGGTCAACAACGTCGGACCAGTAGTCTACGCATCAAAACTGATCAAGCAAACATATGGGATAAAGTATTCAGTCCGTGCTTTAGGGTTAGGGTTATGGTTAGGGATAGGGTCTGCGTGCCCCCTCCCTATTCGTTTTGCAGATACTCTTAAAATCCTGCGTAGGCGGTCCCGTTGGACACGATGGCCGGAAGGGGCGCGAGATCTACGGTTTGGAAGGGAGCATGTCATCTCTGATTGGCACGGTCCATTCGACGAAAGGGTTTCAAGCAAAAGCGGGTGCCGGCAGAGAGGGTTACGCTGCCCTTTTGTCCGTGCTTGGCACCAAAATGTGTGCGGATTGCGCGGAAGTCTTCAACCACCCTCCGTCCTTCTAATTGTGGGCACATGTACTAAAACCAAAACAGATTTGATTGACTTACACGTCATCGTCTTCCCCGTGATCTTTTTTCGGTGTGTTTCCTCAATAAAACACCGAATAACCAGCACCTGTGTAAAAATATAACATATCCTTGCATTGAAGCATACGTCTGTTACATAAGGCCCATGTCGAAGGCAAAACCAGAGTAACTCCGGTCGTTCTGGAGAAAACACGAAAAAACGAAGAAGGCCGCGTACGAATCTCCTCAACACCGCTTGTTGCAGGGAATAGGTTGTTGCTCGCTCCGTACCGACGTGACCAAAACACATGAAAGTAATCGTCCACGAAGAACAAAAGAGCTTAACCCTTATGTGACTACATGCAAGATAGCAGTACGATAACGTTGTGTGCCGAAGATCGCTGGCGTGCCTCGCCAAAGAGAAAAAAACTGCACCGCAAAGGCCAGCAGAGAGACCAAGAGGCAGACCACCCCATAAGCACGCACATGAGCAATGTGCGCAGGGGTAAACGCAGTACTACCATTTGTACCGCAGTAATGTACTCTGATGTGGGGCAGATATGTCCTTTCTTTCCAGACCCAATCTACCGCCTACTGCTGTAAGATCCAGACGGAAAGTACCACGGGAGGGTACATACAGCACCCTCAACATGTGATCAACCCGGGGTCCCGCTTGCGAGATGGAGAGCAGAGATACCGTACCCCGGAGCCGATGCTAACGTACTGCCTCGGTGCCTGACGCAGTCATGACTGCGGTGTGCGTGGTCCAGAATACTGGGAGCGAAGGAGGTCCGGGTGCTGTGTGCAATTTTCGCTTAAGGGAAAGGGTTTTCGGGACTACATGCACGATAACATGCACGATAACCCCTCTCTATCTTTAGTACGGAATTGTATAATTTGCCGTGATTTTAATCTAATTCTTGCGACAGTAACATCGTGGGGACGATTTGCTGTGTGAGCCGCAAAAAAATAAGTAAAATCAACCCAGTCACGTAAGGGTTGAAGAGCGGCGTATTTTGGGCCGTTTTATGCTGCTCGGAGATGGTCCACACCGCGATGGGTACGCAGTGATGACATAATACGCGACTCTACATGACGCGAAAGAATGCACTCCAGCTTGGCTACAGGCAGAAACCTTGCGTTCACATTCGCTAACAACAGGGAGGGGCGAGTGTGGAGGTCTGCCTTATGTAAATGTTTTTCGGTCTCCACGTCTGCAACTAACTCTTGCGGAGATACGTGGCGAGTCGATCGTCTTACGCACGCACGAACGAAACGAGATAACGCCGAAAACCGGCGGTGACACTGGCAGCCGGCGATGGCGACATCAGGGGTGCGAGATAGCGCCACGAAGCAAACGAAACCATGGCTGCTGCGGCCTGTGCGCTTGTCGGCGACCTCGTGCAAAACAATCTGCATCCCTGTGCTTGCCCAAGTACAGTAACCGCGAATGGGCCGACGACGACACAACGCACCCAAACAACTCCAGCAATAAGCGAGATAATCGAATCTTGCACCAGCGGGTTGAGGTTGACCACCACGATTTCCTTTTCCCTCCACTGCGATATATATCGTCGTGACGTGGGTGCACTTCTCTACATACGTGTTTTTGGGACGCATGTTTATGACTATGACCTCGAAACATGCTACGGCAGGACAGAGCTGGGAACGAACCGAACGCCACAAAAAAGGCCGATGAGGCTCGTCAGAGCAGCACCGCGGAACGTCAACAAAGGTTTAAAATAAATGGGCGTCGCCTACCCACTTCCATCATTCGCAATCTCGTTTTGCTTGTTTTACTTGGATTTCGTTCGTACCCCTGGCAACACACACACACACACGGCGAGGGGTACAGCGACATCAAGCACTCGCTCACGTTGCATCGCCCTGCAAACCCCATGCACAGCCTGAAAGACGTTGCGATGGCGCAGAGTCGTGGTGGATTTTAAAGCCCAACACGGGACGCGACCGTGGGAACGCAGGCACGCCGCAACAGGTTAGTGCCGGAGAGCTCTCGGCACGTCGCCAAACTGGCAACCCTCCAACCCTCTCAAAAATCGAGATCTCCCGTCGTCCCGTAAAAAGCTAGTTTGCTGCTCACCCTCCCTGTCCAAAGCAAAACGTCGCGTGCAAGGCAGCACGATCTCTCACCTTCATGTCCTTGTTCCCCTCGTTCAGCAGGTACACGCGCTTGGTGCTGTCGGCTGTTGCCGACGATGCTGGCGCCTTTTGGGGCAAGATTTCGTCGAGAGGCGCGAATAGGCGGAGAGAAACGTCAACATCTCGGTACTGCTTCTGTGCGTACAACTTTCGTCGGTCGAAATTGCGCCAAGACTACGGTGGTGGTAACCTCTCCACGGCGGCAACCAGAGAATTTGAAACCCTGCGGCTTGGGGGTGCCATACAGTGGTGGTAGGAAGGACCAAAGTTGCACAAGCGGCAATGGTGCTCTCGCCGAGTTCTAGCGGCGCGTGTGTGACCCTCTCTGACATCAACTTGTAGCGGAACAAAGGCGGAGGAAGTCCTAAGGTACGTGATGGCTCCATGGACAACACGACATAGTCAGGCAATCCAGTCACAGGGGTGCGACTCACGTCTGTCTTGACAGGTGTCGCCTGCGACTTCATGCCAAGGTCTCTGGCCGCGCTCCTCCTCCTCCTCCTCCTCGACGCACCGTCGCCGGCGAGCCCTTGCCGATCGGGCCTGGTGGATATCGCGGACATCAACCGCGTCGTTGAAGTCAAACCGCCGACAGCAGACGGAACCGGCACGAAGGCATCAGCCCTCGGGCAGCCGCCTCCCGCGACAGCAACCGCGGCCAACAACTCGAGCTTCATGTTTATCCTTCTGTGGCCTATGAAGAGGTTCCGATGTTGGTCGTCCTGGTGTGGGTGTATTTGTGTATTTGTGTTGGATTCGAACGCGGATGAACCAGCGGGGGGCGAGCGACGAGGAGGAAGAGATCCGGTACGCGGGGTATTTGATGTGAGACAGCGCGCAGACGAAAAAAAAAAAAAAAAACTCACCAGCATCATCGAGGCTTGAACGCGTCCCCGTGAGCATTTTCTCGAGTGGGCCGTCTCTGTTAGGATTGCTGAAAGACCTGCAGGCGCCACGCACGCCAGGAGGATGCTATGAACCCAGCAGTATTTTAATAGGCTGCACCAAGATTTATTTTCTGCATTGATGGAGCCAGTTTGCTCCGATTTTCACACTCAAGATAACACCCCCCGGTGATAACATGTTCGGCATTCAAGTTGCCGCGTTGCTATCTATCCTCCGGGTGTGTGGTGTCTTCAAGGACCCAATTATTTGTCTGCGAGGGGCATCATATTTATCATGGGCTCCTGTAGACCCGTAAAAATATTTTCATGTGGGTGTGGTGTCCTGGGGGTCAGGTGGTATCGTATGCATAGTTGGGGTGTTATCTTGTGTGGAAAATTGGATCAATATAGCTGGACGCGCCCGAGGCAACCGTACGCCGAGGTGTGACTACACCGAGGGGACAAGAGGACACCAAACACAGCGCTGGTACGACAGAGCGACAGCTTCATACTGTGGACAAGACAGAGCGCCATCTACCAATCGTGACTACAGCGTGTTTTGACTGTATTATTTAGGAGACGCACACAACGTACTTAATAATACCCCGCGTCCCTGGAAAGACAACCGAGTCAATCGAAGATACGCCGCAGGCATTCAGCTTCCCTGTTGCGACTACCGTGAACCACACAATTTACCGGGGTAACCCCGTTTGTCAGAGCCTCTTGCACAAGCTCGAAAAAATCCAGCCTACTGGGGCACGACAAACCGCTGTGACCTAACAAACATTCTGGGGAGCAGAACAAAGAGACACCTGCGACTATCTACAGCGGCCAGGAGCATCAAGACGCTGCCCGTTTTCAAGGGCAGTACCACGCAGCAATACAAGCTCTCACCGCTACTTATTGAAAGGCACAACCACGCCACTTCAGCAGCAGTTGAAAGCTCACAGGGTAGTTCGCCTACCGTGTGGGGGAAAGAAGACACCCCTCTATCTTTGAGCAAAGCATAATTCCGATTGGGCCTCGCTTACCGACGGCTAATACTCAGCCGTCCCCCCCTTGTTCTCAGTTCCCCCATCAATTGCTCGCCGGTATCCAACGTGCCCCGTGTTTGCAATATCTCTACTCCTGTTCGTTTAGCCGCTTGTTTCATCGATGCCGTATTCAATTGTACACGTACCTAATCTGCATCGGAAATCATCCCACAAAGGAACCGGGGCCACCCAACCAGTGCCGCGGCCTCTAGCCAAGCAAGGCGCTACTGAGTTCGAGGAGCACCGCCGCCCAATCCCACACATACATACGCAGCAATACCGATCAACTTTCACCGATACCATCCCGCTCGCCCGTTAGTTACAAGCAAGTATCGTGTTCCCTGGAGGGGGGGGGAGGGGGCTTGGGGACATCGATTTTCCTCGGGGCCCCTCAACTTGAGTTTTCGACACTTGTTTCTTCCGGCCCAAGCAGGCGGGAGGGGCCACGAAGAACCAACGAACAATGGAACGAGAAAAAACTGAGATATATTAATTTTGCAAAGATCTAACCGGTAGGCACAAACCTCGCTAGCAACCATCAACAAGCACGATCACGATCTACGACCTCGCTCTGCCTTCACCCTTTCCCAGCAAAAAGGCAAAAGACAAGCACTACGGCACGAGAAAAATAAAACACCATCAACATAACCTCTATCACACCACTTCTTAAGACCGTTACTTCTGTTTCGATGCGACACCGTCCGCGGCTTCCGACTCCGCCGACGCAAGCGACAACGACGCCGCGCACAGCTGCGCCACGTTGACCGCCTGCTTGCAAACGCACGCCGGCAGGAACACGTAGTAGCACACCTGCCGGGAAATCCGTCAAGAGCGGGAGGAACATTCGGGCGGAATCAGCATGGAGGACGATCAGGGATTCACATGCTCCTTGAGGGGGGGACTCATAGCCGAGCATGCCATCGTCAGCAGTCGTTAGACCGCTTACCGCTGACCTCGCATCCGAGGTGAGTAGGGATGCTCGAGTAGGCAGCCAAGCACGGCCGTGAGACCAAATTAGCACGACTACCCCTGCTGCGGGCGGGGGGTGGCAAGGGCGGCTGACGCTGAAAGCAACGAGCGGGAAGCGCGAGTATCCCCACGTACTACAGCAGTGCGCGACAAAACAGCAGCAGAAAAAAAAAAAGCCCAACTCCCGGAACACACAAAAATAACGGGACAAGACCCATATATTCCCGGCACCACCGCCTAGTCCACCACGTATACTGGTAAAAAAATCACCCATCGTAGAGCAAGAAAATCGTGTAAAACGCGGACACTCAGGCCTTGGCGCTAGCCCAACTAGCAACGTAGCAGCAGCAGCAGCAGCAGCAGCGGTGACCACAGCAACAACAGCTCACCGCGTGCAAGGATACTGCCGCCCCGCCGCCCCCTAGCGCAAGCGACGCCTCCGGGACGAAGACCAGCAGGTACAGCGCGACGTAGAAGAGCTCCGTGCCGACGCAGCAGAAGGCGAAGAACGGGTAGCAGCCGTAGAACAGGCGGGTGATGACGTTGCGGTCGGCGAGAGTGTCCGCGGCCTTGTGATGTCGCCCGGCGGTGCTGCGAAAGTTGGTTGCGGAGGACGCACGAAACGGTCACGGGCGGTCTGACTCATTGTCGGGCAAATGTTTCCGAGAAAAGACCCCAGCGTTTGGATTGTTGGTGAAAGTGGGCGGGTGGGCTACTCGTCATCTGGTCATACGCCCCTTATCGACAAAATCGCCCAACTGAACGAATGTCAACAAATCGGGTCCATGGGTGAGCGTCGGCGCAATATTTACGCCCAACCGCACTGTTAAAGACGCCGTCCCCCCCCCCCCCCACCCCCCCAAAAAAA